TCAACAGTTCATGCCACTCACCTCAACCTTAAACAATGACATGTGTTGTCATTTGTTATTAATTTTATTATTATGGAAATGAGTTACCTTTTTCTAAAATAAACAAAATTTGATAGTAGTATCATCATGTATAAAAAAAAATTGTTTAAAATGAATGTATTTGATATAGACTGAACATGTTGGGGAAAAAATAAATCTAAAATAATAAAATCCCTGCCTAACTACCCAATAGTTTTTACCCTAATACTGGAAACACCAAATTTGTTTTTCATTGGCCTCATAATGGTTTGAGATCTTTTTAACATGATCCACATAAATAATGAGGGATGAACTGGGATTCTGTACAAACAGGTCCATGCATTTACATTCTATGTTTCTGGTTTGATGTCGACTCATTTACAGCCCTGTCATTGGTGATACAAAAAGTTTGTGGTCTGTCTTATGCAAACCAACAATGCTGTTTTTGCACATGGTCAATTCACTCTGGTTATATGTCAGTTGACACATTACCATTGCCATGCGATAAATTCATTACTTTTACCGGTTCTATCAGTCTGATGGAATTGATATCATCATTGATAACTCTATGAAGTACAATTACATTCCATATAGTCTCTTTGCACCTACTTTATTTCTTATTCATTCTGAATGGACAGTTGGATGAACATACAATAGCCTAAAGGTAAGGGGGTATATTTGTACAACACCCTGTAACTTTGCATGATATGGGTCTATACTACTGTCTTGTAAACAGTTAACTACTGGTTTTGTACAGTTTAATGTTGCTACACATATACTTATTGAAAACAACAAGATATAGTATTTTCGGCAATATGACTAACTACCAAATTGGTCGGTGGTGATACCTATCATTTGGGTCTTCCGTCGACACTTATCTGCTTTTGCACCATGAGTCGTTCCATGCACATCATACCAGATTTAATCATGACACTCTGTTTACAACACTAATTTACCTCATTATAATGTGCATAACCTGTTTTTTTCATTGAGAGGATGCTTGAATGCACGGTAGTGCTTTCAGCATCCTCTCACTAGTTATTTACAATGTGCCTCAAGATTTAATTTATGGAAAGTCCAATCATATCCTATTGAACATTCCTCTACTCAACACCTTACTCAAATTATTCATTACAATATATAATCCTTACCACTTGTCTTATTATTTTCTTCCAGGCGAGATAATTCAACCATCACCTGTATCTCCTATTGGTTCAACTTTTTACTTTATTCTTACTCGAATTTTTTTGTAAACTTGTTGTATATTGATGGTTAAGATAAAAAATAAAAAAAAAAAAAATTTCCTTGTTTATTACAGACGTTTATTCTGTTCACACTATTTTTACATGGATGTCTTCCAACTAGTCATGCCGAGTGATGTCTAATAGCAGCTGGCCAAATTACAATCGAGTGGTGGGTGGGTCACAGTCAAGTACAAATAAGCCATTCACTGCCAAAGAACAAATATAATCATTCTTTCCAATCAAGTACTTTAACCCTCTTGATTCAAATGACATAACCAAAAGACGTAAGACATCACCTACTTCCTATAACACACAACACCATATTCACATAATTGTTCAGACATGTATACATTGTCACAGCAAAATCAATTACATAAATTTACCAACAGCTCCAGCAAATCATCTGCCCATATTAACTATAGCCTCTTTTGTAATCCCTCTAATACTTATATTTTGTGTTTCAATTACATAATGTTAGTCCCAAAAATGTCAGCTTCTATTATTTGAACACAATCCTGTTATCAAGGTCACGTTTGTATTGCGCTGGTCCCGCTAACTCTGGATAACATACATGCCATGAAATGCACAAAATATAATACAAATTGGTGAACATTATGCAAATTAGTCATTCCTATAGTAATATCATTGATATTGGCGGCCTCGGTCAACAATGCTCGCTTCGGTTCGACCATAGACCCTCTAATAGAGTTAAATCAGAGTAAATCGAATGGGGCTAGGGTTAATATTTATATGCCGAATAAAACAAACATTTTGTAAAAAAGTTGTAACGCAAGATCTCTTCTTCAAAATTTTCAATGACAACATCCAGAATGTTCTCCATTCACAAGTAGCGGTTTTATCACACTTCGTATATATTTATATTCTATAATCCCTCCTCAAAATACTGTTACATTTAAGATTTGTGTAGGTATCAACTGGGCAGAAACAGTGGTATATTTTAAGGAAATACTTGTTGCAAAAATACGAACATGAATGTGTTGGACACGAGGTCTGTAGATATTAAAAGTGCAACGCAGAACATGAATGTGTGCATGTGTTGGATACATGACATGTAAGTGTAACCAGTTGAAATAATTAGAACTTAATGATTTCATACGATTAAGAGTAGGTTCTAACTGAGTATGTATTGTAAGTCAATAGACCCAGGGTACGATAGCTAGTACATGTGAGTGTATGTATACCAGCTGGTGTTTATTGATACTTGAGAACCCACTATCAGTTGGTGAGAGTGACAGTTAATTAGTGTTATGGTTAGTGTGTGTAAACTTCAGTTAAAACTACAGGGAAAGTAAGAATTAGGTCAAAGCCAATTATGTGGTAATGAGTATAATTATCAAAGATTTAATGTTTGAAGATTAGCCGTAGTATATCGTAATATTTGTGATTTTTATTAGAAGCTT